TAGAAGGTCTTTATACCTATAGAAGCCTCATTGAAGCTTTAAATACCCTAAACTCCCCACCTGTAGTTTCCTTTAATGTTTGGGGTTTGGGGGTTTGGGGTTTATTCTAATTAGGGGCTTGCGGTTTAGGGTTTAGGAGTTGGTCGCAACGGCTTCTTAATCTGCCATGCTGTCGAGCATGGCAAGTTGTGCCCTGTTGCTCTCCCTGTCTCAGCTCCAAACCCTGCGTCCCCAAACCCTAAACCCTAAACCCTAAAACCCTAAACCCTAAACCCTAAACCCTAAACCAACCCTAATTTAAACCCTAAACTCTAAAACCCAAAACCCTAAACCCTAACCTCTTGCAACCCCCCGTTAAATCGTGGGTTCTGGGCAGAAGCAGAAAGAAAGGGACCCTTCTGCGGACCTGAACCCCAAACCCTCAGACCCCTAAACCCGAAACCCTAAACCCAAAGCCCTAAACCCTAAACCCCTAAACTCCAAACCCCAAACCCCTAAACCCTTAACCCTAAACCCCTAAACTCCAAACCCTAAAACCCTTAATTAATCCTAAACCCCTAAACTCTAAACCCTATACACAGCAAGCTTCTCGTGCCACGGGGCCCAGCTGCCTCCACCGATTCCGGAATCCAAGCATCGGCCACCGCACTGGCTCCTGGTTTACGGGTTTAGGGTTTAGGGTTTAGGCTCAGAGGTTTAAGGTTCAAAGGCTTATAGGCTTTATTTATTGGATATAGGCAAGTCGTGAAGCTTTATGATCGGCTATATAGTTGAAAGATGTTTAATGCCGCTAATCGTGCCATGCCTTTCTTAGTCTTAATGCCAAGAACTCGGCACGACCGGTATTGATCAAGACCCGTGCATGGCCTTTCTTCTTCGAGGCCATCTTACATAGCCAACACCGACCCTACAAACTCGACAACCCGGAAAAGAAGGACGTAAAACCCTAAACCCAAAACCCTGAACCCCATAAACTTGAGGCCGTAAGCCTCCCCAACTCGGTTCTGGAGCCTTAAGAGATCATGGGACTTCGTCCCTCTGGGGGTTTATCAAAAGGTAGACTACACTTATAACATCATCACAACTACCCAAGATTTCTGATAAGCGCCCTAAAGCCTGAAGCCTAAATTCTATACCCTAACTCCCTAAAAACCCATCCAAGGTGATTATAACCTTCCGTACAAGGTCCCATGATCCGCCCAGCAGCCCAAGAAATAGGAAACACCAGTGTCAACGTTAAACCCTAAACCCAAAACCAGATCCTAAATCCTAAACTTTAAACCCTAAGCCTAATCAATGGACCCCAAATCCTAGACCCTAAAGCCTAAATCCCTAAACCCNNCCCTAAACCCGAAACCCTAGACCAAGGCCTCATAAACTTGAGGCCATAAAAGGGTGGCAGGGGCCGAAAAACTCCCCTTGCCAACTCGGACCGACTCCTTGGAGCCCTACACGCCTGTTTAGGGTTTAGGGTCTAGG